CCCCTCAGGGTCCCTGTGGACCCTTGGGCTGAGGGGGGCCTGGCTGGGCCAGGGTGGTGAGGCTGAGGGGTGTGGGGCGTGCCTACCCCTCCAAGCCGGGCCCTTCTCCCCCAGATGACCTACTCCCTGACTCGGTTCGCCATCTACGAGACTGTGCGGGACCGCGTGGCCAAGGGCAGCCAGGGGCCCCTCCCCTTCCACCAGAAGGTGTTGCTGGGCTCCATCAGCGGTGAGCTGCCGGGTGGGAGGGGCATGGGGCGGCCAGGTGGGCTGAGGATGCCACGTGTCATTCTGCTCGTCTCTGGGGTTTGTGTCACCACAGGTTTAGCTGGAGGCTTCGTGGGGACGCCCGCGGACTTGGTCAACGTCAGGTTGGTGTCCCCTCCACCCTACCTGCAAGGCTAGGGCCTGTCAGGGCTGCTCGCAGGGTGGGGTCAGCCTGGAACAAGCCACTCAGACCCTGGTGTCCTGGGCATAGGAGGGTGGGTGTCCCTGAGCCCTGGCGTGCCCTGTCCTGTGGGCCCCGCTGACCAACATAAGCTCCCCTGCTGCCCGTGGGGCTCTGCCAGGGCTGCCCAGGCCCCTCAGCCTGCCTGCCCCTCCCGCCACCTGCTTCTGTTTCAGGATGCAGAATGACGTGAAGCTGCCCCAGGGTCAGCGGCGCAAGTGAGTCATGGGCAGCTCTGCCTTCTCGGGGTGGTTGGGGTGCAGGAGGCTTGGGCGGGAGCAGACCCCCAGCTGCTGTGCCGTGACCTAGCTGGGACTCCAGCAGGCTGCGGTGCCTGTATGGTCCATGGAGGGTCCTGACGGCTGTTCTGGACTCAGGGGTGTCACTCCGCCCCCCAGGACCGTTGGGTTCTTCCTGCGGGGAGAGCCTGGTTGGATTGCGGGCTGGGCCTGCTTGCACCCAGGGCGTTGAGTGCGGAGGTGAAGGCCGCAGGTATGGAGAGAGCGCGTGCAACAGAAACGCCTGAAGGAGGCACTGCCTCCCTGCCCAGCTCAGGGCAGCTGTACCCTCCTGCCATGGCCCGGGGCCTTTCTAGGGCCTGGGGTCCGCTTCAACTGTAGCGTGAGCCATTTTCCCTGCCGCTTCCAAGGCCCCCTGGGGAGCTCTGGCTCCTAGCTGTGCACACAGACTGTGTTCCCTCCGGACTCCCGGGGGCTGGCAGGCAGGAGGCCTGTGTTTGAGGAGCGGTGCCCATCCAGGGACTCTGTTGGAAAAGATGGAACCTCCTCCCTGAGGGCCAGGCGGGGTGGACGGAGTGGCTATGGGACGGTAGGACCAGCCTCAGATGTTCCCAGGGAGAGATCTTCAGGCCCATGAGGCCTCTGCTTCCTCAAGAACCCCCGGCCTGCAACAGGGCCTGGGAGGACCCTCTGTGGGAGCCAGTGGTCGGGGGAGTCTCATGTGGTCATTCTGTGTCCCCGGCAGCTACGCCCATGCGCTGGATGGCCTGTACCGCGTGGCTCGTGAAGGTGAGGGGCAGGTGCTGTGCACAGGCGAGGGTCTGGGGTTGCAGGCAGGGTGGGCAGCGCTGTGCAGGACTGGGCACCGAGGGATTTGGGCCAGGTGCCTGGCCTCACCCCTTGCCTCACCCCTTGCTTGTGCAGAGGGTTTGAGGAGACTGTTCTCAGGTGCGACCATGGCGTCCAGCCGAGGGGCCTTAGTCACCGTGGGCCAGGTAGGCCTCCTGCGTGGGGTGGGTGTGGGCAGTGCCTGCGACCTCTGACCTCCATCTTGAGAGGGGCCATAGAACAAGGCACTGGGCACCAAGACCCTCCTGGGGAACCACCAGCTGTGGCCTTGGTGGGGCGGGATTGGGGGCATGGGTGGGTCAGGGCTGCAGCCTGTGAAGGGCCTCGGGCAGGTGTCTCCCCTTTCTGGGCCTCACGGATGGACGGAGCAGGTGCTTGGCCATTGCCAGGTGGTGTTGCTTGGGGCACTGTGTGCTTTCCCTGAGCTGGGCCCCCCGCTGCAGCCGTGACCGCCCTTGTTCCCCTGCAGCTGTCCTGCTACGACCAGGCCAAACAGCTGGTCCTTAGCACTGGCTACCTGTCTGACAACATCTTTACTCACTTTGTTGCCAGCTTTATTGCAGTAAGTGGCTGGCATGGCTAGGGTGGGTGTCCCTGGGCCGGCCTTGGGAGCTGAGGGCACCCAGGATGGGGCGAGCGCTGGGGGAGGCGGGGGCCTCGGGCATCTGGCAGTCCCCCCTGGGGCTCATAAGTGGGTGCCAGGGCTATGAGAGCTCATGGGTCAGTCTGGTGCTCCCGCCAGCATGTTCCTGGCCTCCCCGGGAGTCAGGTCGAGGGGCTCTTTCTGGACTGGCACGCGGGTGGGATTCGGCAGTGGTGCCAGGGGTACCTGGCAGGCCGCTGGTGACAAGCCCCCTCCCCAGGGTGGATGTGCCACGTTCCTGTGTCAGCCCCTGGATGTGCTGAAGACCCGTCTGATGAACTCCAAGGGGGAATATCAGGTGAGTGGGGCCTGTGCAGTCAGGCTGTGCAGCCCAGCAAGGCCCCTCACCTCTCCGGGGCGCGGACACTCACACTGGGAACCCGGGGAAGGGTACCCCTCCCTTCCAGTTACCTATCTCTGCACAGCACTTGGCCTTGGAAGAGGAGTCGTGCCTTTGAGTGCCTTTGCCTTGTTTTTGTTTTTAAAGATTTCTTGGTCCAGTGCAGTGGCTCACGCCTGTAACCCGACACTTTGGGAGCCTGATGCGGGCAGACCATTTGAGTCTAGGAGTTCAAGACCCGCCTGGGCAATATACTGAAACCCCATCTCTACCAAAAATACAAAAATTAGGGGCCCAGTGCGGTGGCTCACGCTTATAATCCCAGCACTTTGGGAGGCCGAGGCGAGTGGATCACCTGAGGTCAGGAGTTCAAGACCAGCCTGGCCAACATGGTGAAATCCCATCTCTACTAAAAATACAAAAAATTAGCTGGGCGTGGTGGCGGGCGCCTGTAATCCCAGCTACTCGGGAGGCCGAGGCAGAAGAATCGCTTGAACCTGGGAGGCGGAGGTTGCAGTGAGCTGAGATCACACCATTGCACCCCAGCCTGGGCAACAAGAATGAAACTCCGTCTCAAAAACAAAAACAAACAAACAAAAATTAGTCAGGCTCGGTGGCATGTGCCTCCCAGCTACACAGGAGGCTGAAGTGGGATAATCCCTTGAGCCCAGGAGGTCCAGGTGACAGTGAGCCAAGATTGTACCACTGCATTCCAGCCTGGGTGACAGAGTGAGACTCTGTTGTAAAACGTTTATTTTTGGCCAGGCATGGTGGCTCACGCCTGTAATCCTAACACTTTGGGAGGCCGAGGCGGGCAGATCACAAGGTCAGGAGTTGGAGACCAGCCTGACTAACATGCTGAAACCCTGTCTCTACTAAAAATACAAAAATTAGCCGGGCATGGTGGCGGGCGCCTGTAGTCCCAGCTACTCGGGAGGCTGAGGCAGGAGAATTGCTTGAACTTGGGAGGCGAAGGTTGCAGTGAGCCGAGATTGCGCCGCTGCACTCCAGCCTAGGCGACAGAGCGAGACTCTGTCTCAAAAAAACAACAACAAAAAACCTTTCTTTTCTTTTTTTTTTCCCCCCTCACTGCAACCTCTGCCTCCTGGGATCAAGATGATTCTCCTGCCTCAGCCTCCCGAGTAGCTGGGATTAAAGGCACATGGCACAGTGCCCGGTGAAGTTTTCTATTTTTAGTAGAGACAAGGTTTCGCCATGTTTGCCAGGCTGGTCTTGAACTCCTGGCCTGAAGTGATCCGCCCGCCTCAGCCTCCCACAGTGCTGGGATTACAGGCGTGAGCCACTCCGCCCAGCCAAAGCATTTCTTTCACAGATTAACGGAGGTGGTGCTGCTCATGGCAGTTTGTGCCTCGTAAATGCTCTGGTTCCCCTCCCTCAGGCCCCCGCCAGCTCCATGGGGCTTCCACGTTTGCAGAGCCCATGGCTCTGTCCCTGCTCTTCTCCCTGACCCTGCCGTGCTGCGTCCCTGGTTCTCATGGTTCTGTTCACAGCCCCCTCCGCCCGCTGGACCCTGGGCTGCACCCTTGGGCCCTGGTTGTACTGCATGAGCAAGCAGGGCGGCCATTGACCTGGCCGGTGCCTGCAGACCTGTGGTTACCTGTTACCAGCCAGCAGCTGCCACTCACACCCACAACCCACGTTGAGAGTCCCCAGGCCACCGTGCCTGGCTGGTGCCTGGGAGGGGATTTTCATTGCCCTGTGGGTGAGAAGCAGCCTTTTTGATTGTTTCACTGCGTTTTCTGCAGGGCGTTTTCCACTGCGCCGTGGAGACAGCGAAGCTCGGGCCTCTGGCCTTTTACAAGGTGCAGTGGTGGCGGCGGTGGCGGCTCGGGCAACGGGGAGCCAGTCCCTTCGGACTCTGTGTCTCTCACTTTCCCTGTCTCCCTCCAGGGCCTCGTCCCAGCTGGCATCCGCCTCATCCCCCACACCGTGCTCACTTTTGTGTTTCTGGAACAGCTACGCAAAAACTTTGGCATCAAAGTGCCATCCTGACCGGCCGTGGGAATGGCTGGGCCGCCAGGCCAGCTGCGCTGAGTTCTTCCAAAGAGTCCCAAGCCCAGCACCTGCTTCTGGGGCCGCAACCTCACCGGCCATGGCCACCCGTCTTCCCCAGCAGGCCCCTGCTGTCCCCCCACCTGCTGGCTGAGCTCCTCCTGGCCTCGTCCCCTCTCAGCTGTAGCTGCACCCCCACCCCTGCTCTGGCTCCCAGGCTCTCCCGGCTGGGCGCTGCGTGGCCTTGCCCCTCCCACTGGCAGCTCCTCGGGGGAACAGGGGCACCAGAGGCTCATTTCTCCCCTCTCCTGGGCCGGGGGAGGGTATTATCCCTGCCTCCTGCCTCTGAGGCCCAAAGCAGCATCTTCCAGCACTTTCCATCGAGGACTCGGGTGGCAGAGTGTGGGTGCAGCCTGGCTGTTGCTCACCCAAGTGCTAGCTGTGCACTTTGTATCCGCTGAGAGCGACCAGACCTTCCGTGTCCTCAGGCAGCTGCAACTCCCCGCAAGATCCCGCGGCTGGGTGGGAGGAACAAACAACAGACCACGAGCGAGTGCCTGGGAGGGAGGGGCCCAGAGAGGTTCCGGAGCCATCACGGGGGAGGGTGAAGGGCCACCGAGGTCCCGCGCACCCCCATCCACCCCACAGTGGCTTTAACAGTTTTGCCAAAGCCTCTCCACTCACCAGCAGGCGGTCTCGTCTTCAGGGATTGTGCCGGCGTCCCTCGGCTCCCTGGGGGAATGGCCCAGGCGGGCTGCAGTTCCTCCTCAGGGTCTTCTCCTGACAAGGAGTCCCCCCGGGTGGCTGCTGCATTCTCTGCTTCCCTAGTCGCTGGGCTTCGCCCCACCTGGGAAGGGCAGTGTGCTCTGGGGGGGGCCGCAGTCAATAAATGCCGGGAGCTGCCGCGTCTGTCCTGCCTGCCCCGCCTGCCTGCCGGCTGCCTTGCTGTCCGACCAGCAGGACCCCCTGCACCCCGTAAGGAGGACAAGGCCACGGCCTTTTGGGGAGGAGCCAGGGTCCTCGCTGTGCATTTGGGAGGCCTTTGGGTGAAGGAATTGTTTAAGTAGGAGGAACCAAAACTGGTGTTGGGGGGAAGGGAACGAGACGAGGAGTCTGGGGTTGAGGGGTCTCAGGCAGTGTAGACACTGGACTGCATGGGGCCACCCCACCAACAGCAAAAGCACTAATTGTTTTTTTGAGACAGGATCTGGCTCTGTCATTCAGGCTGCAGTGCAGTGGCACGATCTTGGCTTACTAACCTGGGCCCCCTGGGCTCAAACCAGTCTTCTACCTCAGCCTTGTAAGTAGCTGGTGCTATGGGTGTATGCCACCACACGTGGCTAACTTTTGTATGTTTTCGTAGAATTGGGGTCTCACTGTGTTACCCAGGCTGATCCCAAACTCCTGAGCTCAGGGGATCTGCCTACCTTGGCCTCCCAAAGATGCCCTTTTTTTTTTAAGACAGGGTCTTACTGTGTTGCTCAGGCTGGAGTGCAGTGGTGCAAATAGCCTGTAGTCCCAGCTACTTGGAAGGCTGAGGTGGGATCGCTTAAGCCTGCAGGTTCAAGGCTGCAGTGAGCTGTGATCGCAGCACTGCACTCCAACCTGCGTGACAGAATGAGACCCCATTTCAAAAAAAGAATGTAATGGTGGGCTGGGTGTGGTCTCTCAGACTTGTAATCCCAGCACTGTGGGAGGCTGAGGCAAGATCTCTTGAGCCCAGGAATTCGAGACTAGCTTGGACAATATGGTGAGACCCCCATCTGTACAGAAAATTTAAAACTTAGCTGGGCGTCATGGCACGCACCTGTAGTCCCAGCTACTTGAGAGGCTGAGGTGAGAGGATTACTTGAGCCCAGGAGATTTAGGCCACAGTCAGCCATGATTGTGCCACTGCACTCCAGCCTGGACAACAGAGCAAGACCCTGTCTCAGAAAAAAAAAAAAATCTTTGATATTCTCAAATATCCATTCAGTGCTCAAATTTCTCTGACCGCCATGTGCATTTTGTGAAGAGCTGGTTTTGTTTGAACTGGAGATCAGCGGGAGGTCTGAGGTTTGTACATGGTACCCAGTGCCCAGGTTGGAAATTCACTGCCAGGGACGAGGTGGGTAGGTTCAGGGGGACGGCTGCTGCTTCCTGAGAAACCAAGTGGTTCAGAAAGGCAGCTCTGGCCAGCAAATGCCAAAAACTGCAGATGCAGGGACCACATTCTCAGAGCTGCTTTGATGGGAGCACTGGAGGAAGTGGCCGTCCTACCAGGGTCACCCCGGAGGCTGGCATCACCCACAGCCCTTCCCTGCTGTCAGCCCCACTGGGACAGTGCCAGTCAGGGGATGAAAGTTCCCAGTCTGGTTTGGCAGGGCCAGGCCTGGCAGTGGACCACCGCAGGGCAGGGTGCAGAGGGTGGGGCGGGAGAGGAGGGCAGTGGGCAGAGCTCCCTACCCACCCTCCACAGAAGCCCCAGCTCCCCAGGGCCAGGGTACAGGCCCAGGGTAGGGGTAGGTCAGAGGGAATGTCAGTCCTGGGGTTTCACGGCCCTTACCCCACAGGCCCTGCAGACTACCTGGTGCGAAGGCCAGAAGTCGGTCAGTTTCACGCTTGGGCGCCAGGGACAGAGCTGGACCCAGCTGAGTCAGCATTTCAGCAGTCACCTGCTGAGTCAGCAGTCACCTCTGTGCTTTTTTTTTTTTTTTTTTTTTTTTTTCCCTTTCCTCCTTTTGGATGGAGTTTTGCTTTGTCGCCCAGGCTGGAGTGCAGTGGTGAGGTCTCAGCTCACTGCAACCTCCACCTACCGGGTTCAGGTGATTTTCATTTCTCAGCCTCTTGACTAGCTGGGACTACAGGTGCACACCACCAAGCCTGGCTCCTTTTTGTATTGTTAGTAGAGACAAGGTTTCACCATGTTGGCCAGGCTGGTCTCGAGCTCCTGACCTCAAGTTATCCGCCCCCCTCAGCCTCCCCGAAAGTACTGGGATTACAGGCATGAGCCACCGCACCCGGCCTCCATGCATTTTTTTTTAAGTGACTTCCTAGTTTACAGAAAGTTACACAATAATCATTTACTGTCAAGAAATTTCAACAAGGATGCCAAGACAATTCAGTGGGGAAAGAAAAGTCTCTTCTCCCAGTGCAGGGGCTCACGCCTGTAATCCCAGCACTTTGGGAGGCCGAGGCAGGTGGATCATCTAAGGTCGGGAGTTTGAGACCAGCCTGGTCAACATGGTGAACCCCCGTCTCTACTAAAAATAGCAAAAAATTGCCCAAGCATGGTGGAGCACACCAGTCCCAGCTACTCGGGAGGCTGAGGCAGGAGAATCGCTTGAACCCGCAAGGCAGAGGTTGCAGTGAACCAAGACTGCACTCCAGCCCTGGGCAACAAGAGCAAAACTGTCTCAAAAAAATATATAATAATACTTTAAAGGACACTATCAGGAAAGAGGGAGACAGCCTGCGTAATGGGAGGAAATCTCTCTAAATCATATCAGATAAGGGACTATGGTCTAGAATATATAAGAAAACTCTTACAAGACTTTTGTTATTGACACAGGATGGGAACGAAGGTATACAAATGGCCAATAAACACATGAAAAACCACTCAGCATCATCAGTTATTAAGGGAATGCAAATCAAAACCACCATGAGATGCCACAGCATCCACTAGGCTAAAATCAAAAGGACAGACGTTGGCAAGTGTTAGTGAGGCTGTGGAGAAATTGGACATCCAGCGCTGCTGGGAATGGAAGGTGGTGTGGCCGCTGTGGAAAAGAATCTGGCAGTTCTTCAAAGTGTTAAACATAGAGTTGCCATCTAACCCAATAATTCCATGTCTCTGTATGTACAAAGAGGAAAGAAATGTATTTCTAGAAACTTGGACACAAATGGAGATGGGCGTAGCGGTGCGTGCCCGGCTAGCCAGGAGTCTAAGGTGGAAAGATTGCGTGAGCCCAGTAGTTCAAGACTAGCCTGGGCAAGTTAGTGAGACTCCATCTCTACAAAATTTTTTTAAAAATTAGCTGGGCGTGGAAGCACACGCCTGTGGTTCCAGCTGTTTGAGAGGCTGAGGTGGGAGGATCGCTTGAGCCCGGGAGGTGGAGGCTGCAGTAAGCTGAGATTGCACCACTGCACTCCAGCCTGGGCAGCAGAGTGAGACCCTGTCTCAATAAACAAAGAAGCACAATGAAAATGTAGGGCCGGGCGCAGTGGCTCACACCGGTAATCCCAGCATTTTGGGAGCCTGAAGCAGGCGAATCCTGAGGTTAGGAGTTCGAGACCAGCCTGACCAACGTGGTGAAACCTTGTGTCTACTAAAAACACAAAAAATTAGCTGGGCGTGGTGGTGGGCACCTGTAATCCCAGCTAAGGCTGAGGTGGGAGAATTGCTTGAACCCGGGAG